CCTTTTACAGCTCTATTGCTTACCTTCTTTGCCACATACCTCACTGTTTGCCAATGCCTTTTGCACTTACAATATGCTTTAGTACACCCTTGCATGTAGTAAACCAATAGTTTTGATAGCTTTTAGTAAATCTGATGGTTTAGCTTAAGCTAACAGAACACCTGATAACAGACCACAGAGATTAATTACATTGTGACATGCCCTTGCTTAGAGGCAATGAAAGTATGCTTACAGTGCAGTTTCTGAAACTATGATTTTAAACAATACACATTGATGGTAGGGCACATTGATACTGCGTTTTAAGGATTCAGGACTCCATTCACACCTCTTCATTTAGGCATCTGCACTGCACTGCTAAAAATCATGGCTCTTTGAGTGCTTCAGATCAAAGAAGTCCTTTATGTCTTTAATAAGACACAAAGTGTCTGAAGAGCTCCAGAGCTACAGACATCTATGACTCTTACCTGACTATGGAAGCCTAATCACCAGGTTCAGATGTGAACAGTTACCATCAAATCGTATTCCTGATGCTGAGTGCTTCCATGACTTAGCTGCTACTCCAAAATCATGACCTCTGATGCTGGCACCCTAATGTAAGTGAAATTCAGCCTGCTAACTGGGGGTCTAAATTTTTACAGAATAGGGATGAAGCCATGGAAAGAAATGTCTCCAAAAATTGTAATATAAGAATGTGCTGTTATTCACATGACAGTATTATGTTTTTATTGTCTACACTACATGCTGAAATGTGGGGCTTTTTGTACAGTTATGGAGGTCTATATTTTTAAAATAAAAATGCTACTTTTGTGATAGAAACAAAAGCCTCTATGTCTCTCCTTATGAAAGCTGCTTTTCAGTTTTGGCCATGAGCTCATAAGCTGTTTGAAGCAGTCTCTCCTCCTCTCTGTTTATAAGGAGTGAATCACATTTTTGGTTGTACTACAACCTGAACAATGATAGTACAAAATTGTGAGCCACTGATTAATTGAAGAAAAGGAAACCAGTATTTTTAACTTCCAAGTTCTGTTCTCCAACAGGCTGTGCAGAACACTGTTGTAAGAAAGGTCTGTACAGGCTAAGACACTAACTCAGTGTAATTAATCTGTCATTTTCCAGATCCAAACACGAGCTCACTCACTGTTTATATGGAGCAATCTTGACATACAAATGGAACACTTTAGTGTAAGAAAAGGAAATTCGATCTTTTTGACCTTCAGCCCATATTTCAAGATATTTTAAAGAAAAAGTATGTGATTTTGATATTTGTACTGTTTGAGGATGCTGTGTATTTGTCTTGTTTCTCGAACGACACTGTCTTTTTGTTAAAGCCAAAACTATCGGAAATATTTCAAAGGGTCTGTCAAAAAATTTTGCTGTTTAAAAGTGTACAGTTGAATGGCTTGATGGTCAGACACAGGAACTACTTAAAATACTCAGGAGCTACTTAAAAAATTAAGTACAAATCTAGAGCATTACAGTGGGAGTTATCAGTAAAATTCTATTGCTATTCTTGTTGACATTTTATACAAGAATCATGCTTAAAAGCAACACAGATGAGAAATTTTGTTCAGTGCAGCTTTTATTCATCCACACTTCCTGAACCGAGCAAGAAAATAGATACAACTTATTTGAGCTCTCAGACATATTTTCACATTCTCACAGAATTTTTAAAAATGCAAGAGTATCAATCAAACTCTCTAGTGCTTTACTTATGGGTTCAAAATAGGTCTGTGCATAAATACTTTCATACAGTTTGTTCTTTGAAAATTTTGTATTCAGTAAAATATTTCTGAATATAAAAAAATGTCATTTTTAGGTCTGAATTGAAAAGATCAGTTTCAATTTTAATGGCTTGCAAATTAAAACTAGTCATAGATATGCCATATGTTTTTCTTTAATGTTGATTGACATACCAACAAAGAATAAATGAAAATTAAAAAATGACAACAGTAGAGTGCTAAAAAAATTGAGGACATATTTTGAAATGTTCTTATTGAAAAACCTGTGGTACCATAGCAATATCAGGGAAAGTTTCCAAATGATGTGAGAAAATCTAAGAGCAAAAGAATCACAGAACACCTTAGGTTGGAAGGGACCTTAAAGACCACCTAATACCAAATCCTCTCTCAGGGGCAAGGACACCTTTCACTAGATCACATTGATCAATGCCCCACTATTAACCTTGAACACTTCCAGATATGGACACAAAGGTTATGGACAGAATAATGTAAAGAAAATAGCAAAAGTTTCCAGTGAAAGTTCATAGAAATCATGTGAAGCCAATATAAATTAAAGTCCATTCACTTATGTCTAATGAATTTCCTAAGGATATAGAACCCCAAATATTTTCCTTAAGCAATGAAAACTCAGCACAATTGCTATTACCATTAAAGATTTGAGTACATTTGTCAGGTCATAAAAATGAAATTAGGAAGCACAGCAGAAACCTGGACAATATTTAAATGCTAACATTTAGAAAAATAATGCAAGTAGTAAATATGTAGGTGTTTACAGTCTCATAGCCTTGTTGGCATAGAATTTTAATGGGCAAGTCATGAGCAGCAGTGAGTGGAAACTGCTCAGTGCTGCTTTCTGTTCAGGACCCTCTATTCAGGCCATCTGTGGCTCTTTACCTCTCTTAGTCCAGAAGCAGTAGGAAGGGGGGAAGTCACTGTAAGGAAACATGTCTTTGGAGCACACTTGTAAAGATGTAAAAATGCAGGCCATGAATGCTGTGTGCATATGGGGAAGTGGAAATGAGAAAGCAAGGCAGTGGCAATAAAAAGGCATGACAACCACCTGACTAAGCATGCAACATCAGGGGAAAACCAAAACAAGTACGGAGATGAACAGTACTGGAGATGAACTTCTCTCTCCTCTGAGAAAAGGCAGGTTTGGGAGAAATTTTGTAGCATGTAAAACAGAAACTCATTAGTCATTGAAGCACTTCACATTATTTTAATGTCATGTCATTGCCGAACTGGATAGCGCCTCTTAAATAATTCTTTTAACACTGGTTCCTCTGATAGATTTTGTGAAAACATCTTCAGCTCCTGGTCCTTGCTGGCCAAACAGTTCTTTCCCATGCAACATCAAGAGAGTGAAACACTGCTGTTCAAGAAATATTCCTGTACTCAACAAGTGTACTTGAAAGTGCATCATTCTCTTGAGCCTCCTAAATGTGTATAGAGGTGCCCACAAAAACACCTGAGTTTTAAAATGCCACTAATTATCATATTGCCACAATTGTTTAGAATACCAAAAAAAGAAAGATTTTCTTCTGTTTATTCTTAAAGGAATAAAAAAGCAGCGTTCCAAAGCAGTCTATAAGCCAGTAGTGTTTTGACAAGAATAACGTAGAAAGTACACACCACATTGAATAAGGTTTGTGTGAAGCTGCTGCTTCTATAAACTTGCCTTATATGATTTAATAAAACTAAAATATTTCCAACAGTTATGTTTATCTCCCTGAGAAGCTGTCCTTTTCAGTCGGAAGATGTTTGGGAAGTAAAACAACAAAAGCAACTATATTGTGGTCATCACAGTTTTGGTTGTTTTGTTGTTTCTTTTTTTTTTGAAAGAAAGCTGTTTCCTTTCAAAAAAGCATGTTACACCTGCAGGGCATAACCAAGGATTTAGCAGCACACTTTATTCTTTATTTATCCAAAAATATACTGATTCTGCTTAAAGTCAGGAGGACTACTCCTGCACCAATTTATTCTCTGTATCTTTCAGCTCAAATTTCCTTCTTCAGATGTCTATATAATGAAAAGTATACTAAAGGTTTTTTATGCATTGGTTTTTTGGGGATTTTTTCCCCCACATTAGTAGCTGTCTTATTGAGTCGAGTGGGTTCTGCCACAAAGTCAGCCTTTTTCACAAAATGCCAGCAATTAGCTGCTGTCAGCTTCTTGGTGAGAACTAACCTGGGCTGAATTGCAACCTGCTACACGCAGGCTGGCCAGCCAGTCCTTTTAAAATGTCCTCTCATTTCCCTGACAAAGAAATTAAAATTTAGAAGCAATGAATGCCCCACTTTCCAAATCTTTTGCCGAAAAGACGTTGTGATTCTTGGTGTAAAGGATGCTTTGACGTCCTGTAACGGCACATAAAGAACTTTACAATGCTTTGGTTTTCTTGCTACTGGAAAACGGATCTTGTGTCAAGAGGGGTTTTGGAACAGAGCTTAATCACGAAAAACTACATTGAACGTCTGAAGGGGACAGTGAAAAAAAGGCAAAAGGACTGCAAATAAGTAAAGCTTGTCTTTTTGCTAACCAGAGGCTTGTGCCCTCTGCTCAGTGCAGAACCGCACTTCTTGGGATGGTGGAGCGAGAGGACGGAGCAGCGGCACAAGACGTGCGGGGAAAGGAATGAGAAGACAGGGAGGTGGTCAGGAGAAGCCAAAAAGCGCTGACCTAAGGCACAGGGCGCCGGATGCGATGGGAAAGGGATGCGGGCACGGCGAGCGCTGGGAGGGGGACAGGCGGAGCGGAGGAGGAGCCGATGGCAGTGCCGCTGGAAGAGCAGCGGTTCCCAGGGGCGGCGCGGAGCGCTGGGAGCGCAGACCCTCGGTAAGGGACGGGGCCGGAGGCGAGGAGGGGCGGGGAGGGAGGGGCGGGCGAGGGGCGTGGAGCCCGCGGCCAGCCCGCCCGGGCGGTGGGAAACACGCGGGGGACGAGTCAGCCTGTCCGCCGCCGCCGGAGCCTGGCAGGCGCCCTCCTTTCCTGCGCGCCTCCCGCACACGCTCCCATCGTTTCCCCTCTCCAGGCTGCACCGCTCCCGGCTCCGAGTCACCCCCTTCGCGGCGGCGGTGACCGGGGCAGAGCCGTCCCCCCGAGGGCAGCGCCATGTGAGCGGGAGCCGCGCCACCGCCGCACAGGGCACGGCACGTCCAGGATGTAAGGAGCCGTCCGCTGCTCGCACCCCGCCGCTGCCCGGCTGCCCGCGCTCTGTCGCTGCCGGACACTCGCCGGCGTCCGTCGCTGCCCCGGGCCAGCATGACCGAGGTGAAAGCCAAGGAGACCAGAGCGCCTCCGCCCGCCACAGACGGGGCGGTCCTGCTGCAGGGTCAGCCTGGCCGTGATCCTTTCCGCGAGGAAGCGGAGTCCGTCGACATCTCCCTGGACGGACTGCTTTACCCCAAGAGCAGCGACGAGGAGGAGGACGAAGAGGAGGAGGAGGAAGGGGAGGAGGAGGAGGAGGAAGAGGCGCAGCAGCAGCAGCATCTGGGGCGGGAAGACGGCCGGGACTCCCTCTGCTACCAGCCAGGGAGCGGCTCCCTCTCGGTCAAGGACTCCCTGGACACCGTCCTGGACACCTTCCTGGCGCCTGCGGCTCATGCCAGCTCCACCGTGGCCGCGGCGCCCTGGTCCTTCTTCGAGGCGGAGGAGGCGCCCGACGGCGCGATGAGCAGCGGTGCCTCGCAGAAGGCGGCCGAAGCCGCCCCGGGAGCGCCGGGCCCCTCGCAGCTCCCGCCGCGGCCCGCCGCGCTCTGGCCGCCCGGCGACGCCCTGGTTCCCGCCGCTAAGCCGCGGCCGGCGGGGCCGGGCTCCGGCGCGGAGTGTCCCGCCCCGGCGCCCAAGGGCGACGTTCCCGGTGTCGGGGCGCTGCCCGGCGGGTCCCGGGCGGGGGACCCGGGGCAGGAATACCTGCACGTGCCGCTGCTGCCGCTCAACTCGGCCTTCCTGGCCTCGCGCACGCGGCAGCTGCTGGACGGGGCGGAGTACGAGGGCGGCGCGGTGCCGCGCTGCTCGCCCCCCGCCCCGGAGCTGCCGGCCTACGGCTTCCCGCCGCCCGACGCCAAGGACGGGCCCTTCGCCTACGGCGACGTCCAGCCCGTCATGAAGATCAAGGAGGAGGGTCTCGGCCTCGCCGCCCGCTACCCGGGCGGCAGGGCCACCCCCGCGGCGGGCTGCCACGACTACCCGCAGGCTCCGCGGGCCGGGCAGGAGCCCTCGCTGGAGTGCGTCCTCTACAAGGCGGAGCCCACCCTGCTGGCCGGCGCCTACGGGCCCGCGGCGCCGCCCGACAGCCTGCCCTCCACCTCGGCCGCGCCGCCGGGGCTCTACCCGGCCCTGGGGCTGAACGGGCACCAGCCGCTGGCATTCCCGGCCGCCGTGCTCAAGGAGGGTCTGCCCCAGCTCTGCCCGCCCTACCTCGGCTACGCGCGGTAAGGCGGCGGCGGCGGCGGGGCGCTCGCTGAGGGACGGGACCGGGGGGTCGCGCTGCGCGCCGGGAGAGCTCCGCGCCTCCTCATCCTCATCCTCCTCCTCCTCCGGAGGGGCGGGCGGGCGTGCCGGAGGTGGGCGCCTCGGGAGGATGTTAAGGGGATGCTGAGGGAAGGACCAAGTTTCTCTCGGTCAGGGCCTTTTTGGGCTTTTAGGTAGTGGCCGCAGCCCCGTTCGCATTCCCCGCGCTGCCGAGCACGCCGCGGTGTCCCGGCTCCGCATCTGGCAATCGCGGCTGTGGGCACGGCACGCCCCAGGGATGTTGGCTTGTTATCGCAGCGGGACTTCAGGGGCACTCCATGGCCGAGCCACTGCCCGGCCCCGGGACACAGCGGGCAGGTTTCTAGCTTGTCCTCACTTTCAGCGATACCGTGTTCGTCAACACCTAAATATTTTCCAAAATAGTTCCCAATTTGAAAGAGAACCAAAACCAAAACAAACCCAAAGAAACCAAAAAGCAAAAAACAAAAACAACACCAAAACCAAAAAACCAACCGGAAAAACCCAACACCACAAAAAGCAGTTGATTTCACACGAAAAAGAATATGAAACACTTGTATATTGATTTGCTTGAATGACATGGTGTACTATCCTGCTGAGATCTGTATTATCTACAAATAGATGCAACAAAAGGTGCATGCAATGTTGCAGTTTCAATGGGTATCCTTTCTTTTAGTAAATGCAGTGGTTACCTGGATTAGTCTGCCTTGGAGACAAATATCATTGATATCCCCATCAGACTTAGTTACTGTTGAGAATGCTGCAGCTGAATGGGGGGTGAAAAACTGATTATTAAAGATTTTTTTAGTTGAAATGAAATTTCATGTTTCCCATGTGAAAGAGGCCTTTGAAATTCAGTTGACATTGTGATTCTGTCTCTGTACAGGAGAAAAAACCATCAGTATGACTCCACTCACAAGAGTTGTTGATCTGATGAAGATGAACATTTTAAGTATCCTAGATGGTACCTTTTTTGCTGAATGGTTTAAAAGATAACTTTCTGCTTTGTTTTTTGCAATGCTTTCCCGTGTTACCATAGTAGAGACAAACCATTAAGCAGAAAGGCAATCATACTTTAGTTTTTTCTGTATCTTGACTACAAATTTTAAAATGAAGTTTTTAGTATAAAACTCCTTAATACAGGTAAGTAGTTAACTGCACAAAGCTAGCTCTTTCATTTCTTTTTAATTCTTTTTCTTCTCAAGGCCAGATACGGAAACCAGCCAAAGTTCTCAGTTCAGTTTCGAATCACTACCCCAGAAGATTTGTCTCATCTGCGGTGATGAGGCTTCAGGTTGCCACTATGGAGTTCTTACCTGTGGAAGTTGTAAAGTCTTCTTTAAAAGGGCAATGGAAGGTACTATAAGATGCCATTGTTCCTAATTGTCTGAAATATGTCTTCTAGACACTAGGGCATACTGTTTATTTATTGCTCATTTTTATAAATATTGTCACTGCAGTGAATTTTTTGACTGTTTTATCAACAGTGGATATTGACAAAGTTCTTCCTTAATTGGTTTTTTTTTTCCTAGTATTATTTATTTTACTTTACTCTTTTGCTATTTATTATTTACTGTTTATCAGTTAATCTTTCCAGGTAGGCAGAATTAAATAAAAATTTTGTGCATTATACAACTTGTTTTAAAAGGTATAAATGGTGTTCAAAGGAAAATATTCTGGGTATGAACTCATGATAGGCAAATAAGAATTGTTTATGGCTGTGTTCTCTTTTTGAAAACACGAAATTTTTCTTGCTTTCAAGTTGCAAAATTTTGGCTTCCTGGTAGTTATGGAAGTATTTAAAATTTCACTGAGCCTATTCAAGTCATAATAAGAATAAATGTGTTGTTAAATAAGAATAAGAAGAATAATAGAATAAAGAATAAATAGTTGTTAAATTGCAAAGTCAAACTGCAAGTTTTATGAAACAGTAGCAATATGTAGGTTTAATTTTTCAATTTGGATTCTTTTATATGCCTTGTGCACTGAGATTCTGAATACAAATACAAGCACAAAGTGTTTTATATGGTTCAACAGATAAAGCAGTAAAACAAATCCTTCTACTTTTTAGGCTTTGTCTCCTGTTTTGATTTTTATCTGATCCTGCCAGAACTAGGATATTCAAATTTCTGTTCCATGTATTTAACAAAACTATTGTTCTAATGGATAGGATTCCTTAAAATAAAAACCCTGCATCCTGTATTTTCTTGTTGTGATACGTAGTTTTTTCTGCTTTAAAGAGTTTATCTCTTTCCAAATGAGAAAGGGAATTTTGGAAAGGTAAAAGCTTAGCATAATAATATAATTATTATGCTATATATATTAATCTATATAATTAGATTTTTTGCTTCACTGTGCTGTTACTTTCTACTTTAAGCATATGCTCATGTTCTTCCTCAACATTAAATATTCTTCCTTAACATTAAGTATTTGCAAAGTGGTCTTGGTGGTCTAAGTGAACTTTTGAGCCAGTCCCACGTTTCTCCAATGCATTCAATGGGTTTCATGAGAAAATGACCAGAAATATTTGTGTTAGGCTGCAAAGCTCTTAAGTCACTTGCAGGAATACATTTAAGTTTCACTACCTCTGCTAGTTGGTCTCCTGGTTTGCCTTTGCATTTTTTGCTATGTTTTTCTAAATCAGCCAAATATTCTTTTTAAAAGTCAGGGAGCAGAAGTTTTAATACTAAGCATAGTGTTATTTATGAGTACTGTATTTTAAAATAAATTTTATTTTTGCTTTTTACCTATAATGTTGTAATAATTTCTTTGAATTTTATTCTGTCAATTTTAGATTTCATCTCTTTTCTAATTTAGTACCCAGTTCTGTTTGCAGTAGATGAACCTGCTCAAAACCATAATATATTACATTATTGTTCAGCAGAATTATTTTAACAGAAAATGTTAAGAAGGAATAACTTGATACAAGGAACATCTTAAAATTGTTTTCACAGACTGTTCAAAGTCTATATTGGCAGAGTCTTACCTGGTTAAGAATATAGAGTTATTTAGAGACAAGTGAGAGGTCAATGCAGTTATGTAAACAAAAGTCTTAGGTTTTACTTAGCAACTTCATAATTTTAATTTTTAAATGAATCCACAGACTGGGAGTCTGTTGAGGAAGGGTGTTTGGGTTTTCTAGAAAGGATTTTCAAAGAATGTTCAAGAATGTGCATCAGAAACCTGACTAATCAGAAAAGATACATGTTATTGAGTTTGATGGGGAGCAATGTCAGACAATGAGCAGTGTAGGCATTGGCAAAATCAACAAATACAGTTGTACCTGTTTTTGTGTAGAAAGTGCAAGACTACAGGGGGCTCCTTAGAGATGGACTGATGGACTTCTTATTTTCATTGCAGTATGCTATATAATTATCAGCACTAAACCAATTCTATTTATTGACAGATATTTGATCTTCTATGGACTTTAAATACTTTAAAAAAATTAATATCGGAAATAATGGTGGAAAATTGCTCCTCTCTAAAAAGACACAAAGTATTTGTATTTTAAATGAAGTAGAAAGTAGTGTTTAAAATTCTTACTGGCAATCATATGAATTTGAAACATATGTCTGCCATGAAATGTCCCCCTGTCCATAATTTCTCTGAGCATAAATGCGTTACTTATTTTTTTAAATTTTTAGTGCTACTACAGACGTGGGATTTTTAATAATAATTCATGAAAATACAATGTTACATTTTGTGAGTAAAAATTCCTGGTCAAAACTCTACTTTTCATGTAATTTCCATACAGTACTGATCTTTATGAGAAATTAAAGCCTGATTGGAAATAGCTGGCTATTTTGCTATTTCATGGATTTTTCTGTCTTGAGAGGTTTTTCTGTATGTTATGAGGTTTTGTGCATAGGTAAAAAAAGTACTTAATATAGTAGCTTTACATTTGGTGGATAAAGCTTATTTTCTATTTTAATTATTTATGTAGTATGAGACACATTTGCTGTTTCAAATCAAACAGCCTATTTTTTTGTAATTTTTTTCACAGAAACTGTTCTATTTATACACCATTTATTTTACCTTCCCTGGTATAAGGACAATACTTTATTGGTTAAATACATCCATTTGAATAAAATGAACTGCTCTGTTATCCAGAAAACTCATTTTTTTCCATATCTAGTTTTTTTTGAGATAAAACCAGATTATTAAAATTATTATGACTTAGCCATGATTTAAAGCTGTATTTACTAATAATGATTTAGTAACACATTGGAATGTAACTAATACATGCACATACAACTTAATGAGGGGTCAGAGTTATGTGAGAATCACAAAGATTGCTTAGAATGTTTCTTGGCACTGAATTCTAAAATATATATGCATTTTAGATACTTTCTGTCTTTTGGGTTCCTGGTTCCCCATATGTTCCCCAAAAGGCTGGAGTTAATGTAATAAACATATATTTCTTAAGGCAAAATCTTGAAGCAGGTTAAACAAAGATGCAAGTCCTTTCTTTGGGAACCTGTAGTATAGCAGATATGTAAAAAAGTTAGTACTGCAAGTGAGGAGGAGAAAGGGGACAAAGATACTGAGTTGGTTTCACTTAGGAAACATTTATCTGCATTTAGAGGTTGTACATTTTCTGCTGGACTCCTGCAAGTAACTATTAGTCTGTAGATTCACTTAATGTACAAAGAAATGACAAGGCTTTTAAAAATACTTTAAAGATCTCCTTTGAGTACAATGAAAACAAAGAAAGTTACAGCTATTCATACTCAGTAAAGAAATTTGAAGAGACGAAATTGAATTCATTGTGCTGATGGGGTAGTGCTGTTCCTGTCAGTGGGATGAGTGTGATGAGGATTTTGGAGATAAAAATAAAAGAAAAAATCAGAAATAATATTCAAAATGCTTTCAAATATGTAGAATTACTGTATTTGTATGATAATTTGCTCTTGATAACCAGGTGTTACTTAACTGCTACCAAGATATCTCATTCATGGTAATGACAAGTAGAGGCAAATATTTCAAACAGGCATTAAGAGAATGAAGATTAAGAGACAAACTTTTACTTTTCAATAACTAAATTTCCAAACAGTCATTTGTGATGTCTTATAAAGATTCCATTATGTGAAATGATGCAGGGCAGCTATGATCAAAATGCTTGTGGAATACCACAATGAGATGTTTTTCCCTTGAGAGGAGCCCAGTGTTCAAAATTTTGGGATTCTTGAACTGTTGCTAACAGAGAGTTTCTTGGTAGCCTGCATTATTGCCTTCTTGTTGAAAGTGTCTCTTTTGCAGTAGTTTTACTAATGAAAATTTGGAATTACCTAAATCCTGCAAAAAAATTCAAGTGCCGTTTTTCCTATAATAAAGCCTCTTCTTATTTTTCTTCTCTATTTATATTTGCACTTTGCTTATATTGTTGATACCTAAGGAAAAGTAGTTGCCCAAACCGAGAGTCTGAGATCAACATGAATACATGATATTGCAGCAGATCTGTCAGAAACTGACTCTTGGTTTGTTTAAATACCTGGGAATGTGTTACAAACTTGATCAAGTGATTGTAGAACATTTGTCTAGTTTTAATATGTGCTTTTAGGTCAGGGTAACTCTGACCTTAAACTCTGTTGCATCAATGGCATCAGGGAACAAGCTCAAGCGCGTGTAGCAGATAACATTTAACTGACCACGTGTGAACTTTCCTTTTTCTGAGATCTGAATTTGGTAAACTGGCAGAAAGTAAAATTTCCATGAGAGTTTTCACTGTCTGTATATGGAGAGGTTCTGTGGAGTGTCTGATGATGAGCTACACCTACACAGTAAGAAGGTTGATCATGACTTCAACCAAACTTTCTGATAAAGTTTATCTGACCTTCTCAGTGTTATGATAAGCAGTTTTGTAATGGCAGTGTGATTCACTATATTCATAGTGCAACACTGTGCATAAGGAAAAGTGTTTGTCTGAACAGTTACGCTTTTCCATAGCCAAAGAATCTAAAATGGTACAGCATGCCAAGTATTAAAAAAATGCCAACCACTAGTAGAAAATCCTCTTTGAAAAGAGAGAAATAATAGTGTAGACACCCTTTTAGCTGTAAACCTGATGAAGCAGGTGTTAAAAGTTCTTTTTTCTCACAGCTCTGAAGGGGTTTCTAATTCTTAATCTAACTTTCCAGTCTGGATCTTGGGATCAGAATTTGGTACAGCATATACCAGTATCACCTGATGGTGATAAAGTGTCCATGAAGTAGAAAACATGCAAACACACAAAGCATACACATGGCAAGTTGAGAAATAAAAATGCTTTTCACTCAGTGTAACAGATTTGATGTTATTGTAGTATTCATGATGTACAAACTAGCAGTGTTTTGATAGATATCTACATTTTAGAATCTA